AATATGAATGAAGTGAAATACGGCATTTAAGGATTTACTCGGTAGTTTTGTTAGCAAGCAGTTTAGATACTCCGTAAGCGCGACGGCCCGTGCCGGAAGCACGGTTTGTTTAAAAGCAGCACCAGGCCTCGGACAGCGAAGCAAATACGACGGCGGTACAAGAATATTATGCGGGGTGGCTGGATTCACCCGGCATAATTATAAGAAGTAGAATACATTGACGTACGGTTATATTTAGGAATGAAAAATGAGATGAAAGAAAACTACGGCGGTTACGGATTTCGGTCTAAAGGTTACGGAAGAGATCGTAGAAGAGCGGTTGGAAACCCTGAAGGGAAGAGAGCTATTAAATAGCTGCTATTTCAGTGCCCTGCACGACTGTATATATCCTCATGGTAGAGGTAGCGATATTATCGATAGTCTATCGATAGTTTCGATATTTTAAAAACTATCGAATTATCGATTCTATCGATAGTTACAAACTATCGTCTAGCGATAGTAGAATCAAACAAAATTATTATAACCACAGACCTACAAACAAGATGGACTGGCCTTTCCTATTCAAAATACACAATGTTTTGTTGCCAAGAACTATTTAGATTAGGGGTAAAGGGGTAAGGGGTATTTATAAACAAGTTCCCACACCAGTGGCGTTCTGTTTTTAGGGATAAATAAAAATATTAAATTGTACATTTTTTATTGTGTTTTGCAATCCTATGTAAAAATTATATTTAATATATATAAATATATAGGTATAACAAAATACTAACCTTGTCAGTTAGTGTTCCAGATGATGTAGAATCTGGCTGTTTAAATCTAAAATTTAAGTGAATTTATTTATTTATTCAGTTTCTACGCTCCTGGCAGGGTTTGTTTTGTAAATAAACTAACCTATGAAAAGAAAGTTTTAAATTCTTGGATCCAAGTCTTTTACAAACGTAGCACTGCTTCACCATTTTTATATCACTCACTATTGGTATTTTTCACTATAAAACCAAATAAAAAATATTAAATGTTGTGGATTCCAAGTATCTTTTACGTAAAATATAGAAACTTCAAAGTCAAATGTGACAACTGAGGGAAAATATTTATTTTTGTTCCTGGCCACTCTTTTCAATGTAAATAAACCGGTCCATCTTGTTTGTAGGTCTGTGATTATAACTGTCGTTGTTTTTTTATTCGGAATTTGACGTCATTAAAAATTTGGGGTTTTAGTTGGCAAAATCTAGGGACCCTAGATTTACCAACGGTAAACTGTCTCAAATATGTGATGTCAATTATTTTATTGTTGATGTTTTGAAACTCGATAGTTATTATAGATTTTGATATAAAAGTTTTAATAACTAAGGTAGATATTTATATTGAAATACTATACCATGGAGCCTACACAAGGAGCCCGAACTTAATAGGGAAAATTGACAAAACCTGCCCTCTAAATTGCACAAATTAAGTCTTTTCACCACCAGCGGCGCTATTTGTCGATACGTACTGACGTCTGCTCTTTTGGAAGCGTTTCGGCACAAATAAGTCAATTGTTTTAGAATAAACGGAACACCAGCGCCCTCTTAACTTAGAAAGATTCTTGTTTACATAAAGTTCGGACTCCTTGTGCTATACTATATTTTTGACTCTCCTGTATTTGGTAGGATGAAAATGTGCCTACTTTAAAAATAAACCCCTTATTTTTTTAATAAAATGTTAAACTATAAGGTTTTGAAATTTTAGTAATAGGATAGATAGTCGCTTTTCTCACTATCGATGCTATCGATAGTCTACTTTTTACCACTATCGCTACCTCTACCTCATGGTTTTGCGGCGGCGCGCCGCGGCGGTATAACGGCGCAGCTCCCTACTTATTTGAGTAGGGAGGAAGTGGAATCACGACGGCGCATAACCACTCGTTCGTATTATAATACTACAATCGGTATACATGATGTTTTAGCGGAATTAATAATTCCGAATTATTATAAAAACAGTAAAAAACAGTTCGAGCTGCCAGATTTCTTAACAATATACACCACATTTCAACTAGTGCTTTTACGGTAGCGGGTATATATATAGGGAAATTCATAAGAAACTGCACGGTGACAAAAATCGCACGACACAACCCTTTAATTTTTTTATTATAGTTTTAGTAAATTGTTTAGGATTTCTATTTAATGAAAAGTTACATTGCACTGGTGGAGACCCTCAACTGGTAGGGGCCTCGCTGGCCAAATGCTAAATCCAGTCCAGAGTGTTGCATAGGTATATGAAAATAGTGTGCTTTGGATGTTATGTTTTAACAAATGAAACATTGTTTGCAGGCACATATATTTTTTGAAAACAAACTCAATTAATTCCAAATTATTTCTATCGTGTTCCAAATTGCATTTAGGTATACACCTTTGACTTGAAATGAGAAAAACGACCGAAAACTATTTGCAATATAAGCTTTATTTTAACAGAATTATATTCCATAGATTCAATCAATCTGGCATAACTTACTTCATCAAAATCATTAATCGATTATTTTTTATTGTTTTTCTTATTTCACGTCACATACGTGGATATTGTTTTATTTAACATTTTTAATAAAATCCAATTTATTATATGAGAGAAAAACGAGTACTAAATAAACTATCTAAAAGCATATTTGTTCAACAATCAGATGCTTGTATTTTGACATGTTTCCATGACAACAACCTATTTTTTCAAAAATTATCCCACCCATAAGCACCAAGATGTAATAATAATAATAATAATAATAATAATAATAATAACGTTTATTGCCCAACAGTACAAAACCAAAAAGGACATTCAAATTAACAGATAAAGTTTATAATATTTTTTAAAGAAAAGTGGTAAATATCACACATTACACAAATACTATTAAAGTTGTTGCACATAACAAAAACTGGTGACTTAAACAGTAAATTAGTATTTGCTCTGGGAATAAAAAAAGTTTTCTGGTTTCGAGTATTACTAGGTACAATGAGCTTAATTTCTGATAAAAGATCACTACAGTCAATATTATTGTGCAACAAGTTATATAAAAAAGTTACAGATAAAATTTTTCTACGCAATTCCAAAAGTTGGATATCGAACCTGGTCATAAATCCAGACAAAACCGAGCTCCTCTCGGGGTAGCGTCGATCTAATATTAATGAGTGGAAATCTCCCTCACTTGACAGCAGCTGCTGTAATAATAATAATAAATTATTTACAACACAATCTAGTACTATAAAATTATGTGATATAAATATAATGTTTTCTACTTTATTTAATTATCTAAACCTTATCCTATTAAAGCATGGGAAAATTAAAATATTGGCAGCAAAACCGCGATTAACCACCGATATAAATTCATCAACACCCAGCAAACAAATTGACGTCAATATTACGTCAAAATCTGGTCATCTATCGACGTAATGACGTCAGTGAATGACTGAAAAACGACGTGTTTAACACGTCACTTTTAGGGCAAAATGTCACAGCCCACTGACGTCAAAAAAATGACGTTAACTAACGTCATATTATGACGTAATGACGTCAGAGAATGACTGAAAAACGACGTATTTATCACGTCACTTTGTTACGGCCCATTGACGTCAAAAAATAATGATAACTTACGTCATCTTATGACGTAAATTGTACTTTAATAGGGCCGTACTTGTCACGTCTTTTTAACGTTTTATGGTGGTCTGATGAAATAAAACCAATATATTTATTTTTAGAATTATTATTAAAAACGAAACATAAATTCTCCTATTGCACAAAAATAATAGGTACATATCGTCGCCTTCCTTACAAAGGGGCTTATCTTAAAAATTTCTAAATTGGCTTAGGCCCTTGGGTGGCATTAAAGCAGTATAAAAATAATAATTTTAATTATTATCGACTTTAAAAACAAAACATAAATTCTTTTATTTAACAAACATAAAAGGTACATACAGTATAAGCCTTAATTATTGCAACAACTGTAAAAAAATCTAACTCTAAAACGCCTTTAATCTTTATGAAATTTTGGATAAAAATACTTCAACTTATATCTCAGTTTACGTTTTCGAGAAAATATTTTTAAAGCCCTTTTATTTAATAATAAAAAAACTTTCCGAAAATAACTTTTAGGAAAATTTTGTTTTAAGTAAATAAAAATTATTCTGTTAAAGATCGTATTTTTGTTAGTATACCCTGAAAATTTTGTACAAATAAAACGAACAGTAACGAAGATACAGCGCTTCAAAGTCGGTAAAAATGGCGTTGTTTTGATTATTTTTGACGACTTTAATCGCTTTATCTTCGTACCTGTTTATTTGATTTGTACAAAATTTTCAGGGTATAATAACAAAAATATGGTCTTTAACAGCATACTTTTTATTTACTTAAAACAAAATTTATTTTTCGAAGGTTTTTTCATTATTAAATAAAAAGGCTTTAAAAAAATTTTCTTGAAAAACCCTTGAACAAGTAAACTGAGATATAAGTTGAAGTATTTTTATCCAAAATTTCATAAAGGTTAATAAAGTCGTTTTAGAGTTAGATTTTTTTACAGTTGTTGCAATAATTATGTATATAAATCCCAACATAAATATGTAGTTCTACAATCCTAACATAAATACAATTATGTATTTAGTTTTCTAACGAATGAATTATAGGCACTGACACCCACTCATTTTCTTTATTAACATTTGGAATTACAAAACATTTAAAATTTACAGTCTTAAGGTCCCAACATTTTAAATTTTTTGACAAATTTGACACTGCATAAATACTAAGAATTTCTGAAGGCATAGGATAAACGTAAAGTGAGGTATGGTGACTAAATTCTTTGCCTATTAAATATATTTTATTATCAACAGATATTATATTATGAATTTGAACAGTTTTATTGTTTATTGAACAGTGACAATCTGACTTTGAGTAGGAATAAGTTGTTAGTGTATACATTGCTAGCTTCAATTTTTTAAATTGTCTGCAATGATTTACTGCGTATGTTTGTAACAAAGGCCCCATGCAGTGTTCAATCAGAAGATTACGTTCTTCCTCTTTGTTATTTTTTTTATAGGAAATACTATCTTGTTCAACAACGCGATTGTAAACTTCCCTAAGGGGATTAACACTAGATTTGACCATTGCTTTTAGTCGGCCGAGATAACTTTCAAAAGGAAATGCCGAAAATTTGTCGAGAACTCCAAATTTGTCGACGTCATCACATAAGTGTAACAGACTGTGAACATTATAAATAGAAAATGTTTTACCATAGATGGCGGAACCGTGGTTTACAAAAACCTGTAAAATTTTTTTAACAAATTCAGTTCCTATAGCTGAAAAGTGCACATCCGAAATCAAAATTGTGATAGCACAGCTAAACAATAAGAAATGTTCATAAATTGCTATGGGAACATACTCTTTTAAAACAATAGGTCCTACATACAAAAGAAAAGTACGGAACTCTGTTGCCTTCCATCTAGCGAGTTCCGCTAAAGATCTTGGCTTTCTATTGAACTCAGCAGGAATCCAACTTTTAATGGACTCTAAATATGCCGAAATTGATTTAACAGACAAACTTTTTAATCTAACATTCAGGGGACCACCTGTCCAGTAGTTGAGCATTTTACGAGTAACACCTAGACAACAGCTGTGCATGTATTCTAGTGGAAACTTTGTTACCATTTCATTTTAAGATCAACCAAGGGACTGGTGCCAATATGATGATCTTCATCAAGTTGTTCGATGAAAGATTGGTCTGTTCTTAAAGATGCACTAGTGCATGGTAAAACAACCCTTCCGTCAATATAACTTCCAGGATCAATGCATCTTTCACAAGAAGAAGATCCCCCATGCGACTTGACACATTTTAAAAAAGCTCGTGCAGGAGCGTCACAAATAAAACTGTTAATTTCAAACTTGAGGGTTTTATTTTTAAACTGAATACCGTCCCTTAGTAGATGTTTAAGTTCATAAATTAAATTTTCTAGGAAAATATTCAATGGCTTTGGTTTTGTTTTGTCACAAAAAATACCGACAGCAAAAGGTTTACTAGAGACATTTTTGACTTGTGCTAATATTGGCCATAGTTGAACAGCAGAGCTGTGGAATAAAGGAATTCCATCAATATTAAAACTAACACTCAACACATTGAAATCGATTTTATCACATGTCCTTAAAATACGTGCTATACCTTCAGAAAGACCCAAATGGCAGTATTTACCACTTTCTAATATTTTTTCATTCATATATGTGGGAGTTCTTAATAGCGTTCTGCAGTCTAATGGAAGTTCAGAGTAATAATCTTTTAGCAAGTGCAGTAGAATTGTAACACTTGACTGAGTTGCAGATGTAGTTAGAGCCCAAGAACGTAACTTGTCTGTTAAAGAAACTCCTTTTTCAAACTGACTTGATGAATTATTAGAAATTGTTACAGATGGAACAAAAAAGCCTGTGGACAAATGATCGGAAAACCCGCTATCACACGAAGTAGGGGCCAACAAAATATTTACGCCACTTAAATTATAATTAAGATTTTTTGAGTGATTTTCAGTGCCCACATTTTTATAACTACAATCAGATTTCAGTGACAGACTATTGTCAATCAATTTAGAACTGTCGTTACTAGAATTAGGGGTATAATTTTGGTTAAAATTTAAGATTTTTTTTTTATAAACTGCTAAACGTCTATACCTTTGCCTTCATCCAACTGCCTTAGTTGTTTTGTAGTCCTCCATTTTCATTTGTCTTCTTCTGCTCCAGTTGTAACCTTTGAGGTGCGTGCTTTAACCAAACTTTTATGGCATTCTCAACTTCTTTTTCGGTTGAAGTACACTCACTCTGAACAGCTTCTGTAATGATAGGTATATAAAAATAATGTATTATCTGTTATACATGTGATTGTCTACAACCATCTAAGCTTAGTGGGTATTAAAGAGTACCATTAAATGGAGAATACCAATTTTCAAATTATGTACTTACCAACAAATAAAGTTTTTAACTTTAAATTGGCAAAGAAATGTTTATTTTGCCTTTTTCCATAAAAACTATAGCCACAAGCCAACTTGTTAATTATGCATCTTTTTAAAATTGAATTAACTTTTGCCACAAGATCCTTTCCACCCAACCGTGATAGATATGACACCTAGAAATGTAATATGTAGAATTTATTAAGTTACTTAATGTCTGCATCCTACCACTAAAATTTTATTAATGTTATTAGTTATGTACTTTTCAAATTCAATTACATCTTCTTGGGTAATCAAAGGCAGTTGAACAGGCAAATCATCTGGTAACTGATTTGGAGTCCCACTAGACCCCTGGCTTTTTAAAATAGATAAAATTTCTTTATTTTGTTCAGCAACATGAAACACAGCTGTTAAAATTTGACCACCAAGTTCTTCACTTATTGGTACTAAAAAATTTAACTTGAATAAAGGTCCAGCAGATACTCAAAAGAATAATCACCTTGTTTATTGTTGCCTGATAGCAATTGTCTTACATTATTGCTACAGCTGGCAGCGGAATTTGCACTTCTAAGAACTGTTAAAAATATATATTTCAGTAAAGCACAGAACAAATTGTAATATAGTATTATGTTATATAACAAGATTGTAACTGGGCAGGATTTTCCAATAAAGTTTATTATTATTATTAGTTACCTTCCTTACTGCTTATAGGTGGTAATGGATCACATTCACTTAAACTGACAGCAGGTGTTAAACTTCCACTTAGTCTTGCAGGTGTTAAACTTCCACTTAGTCTTGCAGGTGTTAAACTTATGTTTGGTATTTCTATAAACAAAAAAACCTTGATATAGAGTTCTTTTTTTTATTGAGACTCCTGCAACATTGCAAATTTAGGGGTTTGGTTGGCAAAGAAACCAAAATTGGTTACATTGAGTAAAACGAACTAAACTAGTGGAAAATGTAATTTTGGTTATATTAAAATTATTGTAGGTTAAGTTTATAAATACTGTTGTCAAAATTCATAATTAAAAATTACTGTTCAAAGGAAATATCTTTAATCCTTCTTCCAAAATTTTCATTTTTCCCTCCCTATTTTTTAAGATTCTAAATATTGTTGCAAATACGTTACTTTTTTACTTTGAAAATGACAATAAACTTTTTCTTTCATTGAGGCATTTGGATAATTTCCTCAAAATTATTTTTTACTTATACTCTTTTCTTTTTATATTATTAAAGATTTTTGGCCTAATTATTACAATAAATATTTTTTCATCTAAATTATTGATTATTTCTGCCAATTTGACAAGAATGTCAAAGTATTTAATTAAAACCTTGATGAAAAGTACCATTTTAAATTAGTAAAAACACTAAATCAAACTGGCATAAACTACCAATTTAATAAAAACAAATGATTCTCAATAAAAAAAACAAACTAGGTATACACAAAGATAATACAGGTATACACATATATATATATATATATATATATCGTCGTTTATCTGACAAAGAGGCGTATCTCATTTTTAAACAAAACGGTGTGAATTGAATTACGCCAGTTTGTACGGCACAAAAAAAGCAAAAATATTAGTTACGCCGAAACTGCTTTATGCTAAAACTTTATTTGTACCTATTTATTATAGAGCTACGCCAGTTTGTGAGATTATAAAGTCGATTTTGGTGATCATTCTGGTATAACTCAAAAACGAATTTTTTTGAGTTACGCCTCTTTGTCAGATAAACGACGATATATATATACCTATATAATATATATATTTAATATTCATATATAATATTATAATATATGAATATTAAAAATAGGAACAAAATTATATGATGTTTAAAATTACCTGTATCCGTTGTATCTGTGCATATGTTGAATTCTATTAAAGGTGGCCGTTGGAGTTTTCGTACACTTTCTTTATCGGAATTGTCTTCTTCACTGGTGGAGTAAAGCCTTTTTGGTGTTTTACGTCGGCGGCGGCGGGATTTCTGTTCTATTTCTTGTTCTGACTGTACATCCGAAGTAAATTCAGCTTCTTTTAATTTGTTATTTGCTTTTTCATAATTATCTAAAAATGTGTTGTATATAAATGATGGCGAACGCTTTGTAAATAAATAATTAGCTTACCGCATTTAAAAAAAACACGTTTAACTTTATAGAATGGCCAATCAGGTTCAGGGGCACAATGTTTCAATAATGCTTTTGTGTAGCGATCGCGGCCTTTGTACGGGGGCCAAAATGTTTCCGTTTTTCTAGGGGTTAGCCAATTGCTGCTTATTAAAGCAATATTGCCTTCTTCTTCAAACTGTACCCCTATGAAAGAAGCCATGATCATCAAACTAATAAAACTAGAAAAAAAACGAAACATGTGCACACGGTAGAAAATATCACCAGGGTATCTAATAAAATAATATATTTGTTACGATTCAAGACGTAAATATGCTAACGTAGTGCTTGGAAACACATCAATTAATATTATTACTAATAATTTATTAGTAGATACCTCTGTATTACTTTTTTACTAAAATATAAAAAGATTTAATACTCACTTTTTAGAAGCAAAACACACCTACCACACAATCACAGACTCACACAATGCTTTTTGGCGCCAACTGAAGCTTGGAAAAATAATATAGGTTATGGTGAAAAAGAGTTAAGGTGGATACAGAATGGAACGCGTTGACGTGCCATTGAAAAAGATGATTTGCACCATATATTTATTTATTAATATATGGTTTATATATTTATTTATAGATATATTATATTATTTTTATAAATAAATTATAATTTATAAATATATTTATTGATAAATAGGTATATGGTTTCCACAAATCGTGAGTGATGAACGGAATGAAGGGCGTCATTTCATTCTGTGTATACTTACCATTACATTCCTATTTTATTGGTATCAAAGATTATGCGAAGTTAAGTTAAGTGAACTAAAAGTAGGTATCAAAGAAACATTATTTTTGAAAATAAACATTTTGAGACTGTTTTCTAATACCTAATACGGAAACTCATAGATTTGGGTAATAAATTAAATTAAGTTTATTAATTAATTAATAATTATTATTAAATTATAATTAAATATTAATTATGATGAATTAATAACTAAAATACCTATACACATAAACTAGAAAGGAACTTTATATTCATATCTTCTGTTCAACTTAAATACCTTTGTAAACAAATAATTATTTGTTAACCTCGTAAGTATACTTACGATCCTAAATTTGTAACTTGTAACAAAAATGAGAAGACAGGTGTTTGATAACTAATAAAATACGTTAAAATGACGTCCATTAAATGACGTGATGTTGACGTGTGTATAAGACCGTGTTATCACGTCATTAAGACGGACATAACTGGTACCTTTAAGGCGATGACGAAAGATCACCAATAAACGACGTCTGAAACACGTCATCTGACGTCACTCTGTTTGCTGGGCATCCGATAAAAATAGGCCTAAAATGTTCCTTTACTTTACTTTATTTAATTATTTAAACCAAATTTTACTAGAGCTCGAAAAATTAAAAAATTGTCAATAAAACTATTTTTTCAAATAGTTTTGGAATAAAATGTTCGTGCCGAATCTCCCGCGAGCTTGAATTAAAAATCAGGAATTTTTTTCTAAATTGCTAGTTTTTTAAGAAACTTTTCAAAAATTTTGGACCTCGAAAGTATTTCGAAAATAATGTATGCTCTGGGGAGATTATAAGTAACAATTTTAACCACCAGTTCAAAAAATAAATGTAAAAATGCTAAAAGATTTTTTTTTTAATTACAAATTAATAACACACATGGAATTATTTATGTTTAATATACAAAAGCTATTTTAAAATTATGTTTATCCTTGCTTTTTCCAAAAACGAAGACTTTAAAATCCAATTTTCTTTTCGATATTTACTATTCCTACAATTCAAATTTTTTAAATTTATTTCATATGCAAAGATATGTTTAAAATTGTACCAGTTATGCAGTTTGTGTAATTTTAGGTATTTTTTTGCTTATGATAAATTGACTAGAATGTACTACATTTTATTGTTTAGCTACAAATTGCAATAAATAATAGTTATTTATGTCATATATGACATAAACATGTCATATGACATATAAGGCTGAGAACCCAGTAAACACATACACGTTTTTTAAACATATTTAAAACGTGTGAATGGTCAATAAAACGTTTTACGTAGAAAAAGCAACGGTTTGATGTTGGTATAAATTTACACAAATTAATTTAAACTTTTACGTTACAATAACGTTGTATTAAAGTGTTTAGTCAACCATATATATATTTAAATGTTTAATTTAAACGTTAAAACAACTTTAATTTAAATATGCTTTTTAATAGTGGCTAACTTTTACGTTACAATAACCTTGTATTGAGGTGTTCAGTCAACCATATATTTAAATGTTTAATTTAAACGTTAAAACAACGTTAATTTAAATGTGGTTTTTAATAGTGGCTAACTTTTACGTTACAATAACGTTGTATTAAGGTGTACAGTCAACCATATATTTAAATGTTTAATTTAAAGAGGTTTAGTAATGATGAACTTCTCTGCTTTTATTGCCCCATCTTCAGGGGCATAAGCCGAAACCGGTCGGGAACTTAAAATAAAAATAAAAGCAGAGAAGTGCATCATTACTAAACCTCTATAATACTACTACTGCTAAAATGGAAAATAAAATTAAAAAAAAAAGTTTAATTTAAACGTTAAAAAAAAGTTAATTTAAATGTGCTTTTTAATAGTGGCTAACTTTTACGTTACAATAACGTTGTATTAAGGTGTTCAGTCAACCATATATTTAAATGTTTAAATAACGTTTCAACCCACACTTTTTTTCACAAATATTAAGAGTTTTAATGATAATGTAACGTTTAAATTAATTATTTTATGAACTGTGCAGGCAGCTCTTTCTTTTAACATTTATACAATGTTATATTCAACATGCTCCATCGAACACTTTGGTGAATTACTTTTTATATATTTATTTTGTGAGATTTTTGCTTAGTTTACACATGTAGACAATATGACTTCTTATTTAAAATCTGAAGGTATATAATCTTAGAATTTTGTTCGTTAAAAAAATGAATTATGAATGAATGTTAAATGAATAATTTAATTTTTTCACTATTTTTAGAACGTTAATAAAACGGTTTTTGTCAAATACAAATAAACTTTTATCCACAACGTTTTTCTCTAAAATGGGATAACTTGTTTAAAAATAATTTATAACCTTTAATATTTAATAAATTGGTGCAACATGTATACATACTCAAACAATATACATGGGTATATAAACAACATTAAATTAAATTTAGAAATTTTCGAATTACATTCTAAAGAAAAGCATAAGTAATTCTATAGTCAGTGGTCATACAGTAAGCTTTAGGCAGAACACCATACCCATCCACAAATGTTGCTTTAAAAAGTGCATTATTTTATTAACATTCTTTAAACTCTTTAGACAGTTACTGTAATAGATAAAAATAACGTACTTAATGCGTTTAAATAAACGTACTTAATACGTTTAAACCAACGTATTTAATACGTTTAAACAAAGGTACTTAAACGTACTTAATGCGGGGGAGTGTGATTTTGTTCTTATTATAATTTGTGCAGCGTCCTAGAATATGAGTATGTTAATTTTAAAGACGTTTTCTACGTGTTTTCAATGTTTATTAAGTATTGTGTGGTAGGTAAATATTAACTCACACAAATTAACATTTAAGTTAAATTAACATTAAGTTAACATTAAACTGATTTAGATTAAACACAATAGTCATAAATGCACAGATGTTAAAATTGTGGAAAGTCCATTATTTGCAAATTTAGGGGCTGTCTGTATTGAATTTTCATCGTTTAACAAATTTCTTTTTTGTGTTTTAGAAGCAGCTAAATTTTCCAGCGAACGATAAATATGATTCACCTGAAGACGACTGGAGATACCTCCAAAACCTTTCCTTCATTTAAAAAAATCATTGTCTTCAACCTTTAAAAACCCTGTATTCATGTTGCAGTTAACGTTAAACAAACGTTTAATAATTGGTGTAAATTATTTTTACAGCCTAGGAGATAATCGAATACTTTGGTAGTGAGCGTTGACATTAATAAAGCATAGATTATAGAACGCTCGAAAGATAAAATAAATTTATTAATGCAGTTTTCCCTATAATGTAAACAAATCTCTATCTTAAATAAACTTTATAAAACCAAATATGCTGCATTTGATCTATGACTTTTGCTAACTGGGCGAAAAATAGAACCAAGATTTTTTTACAGACCTTTCTTTACACTATACATTATAATGCGGTGGTTTACACTATTATGGTGGTGGTTTGAAAAATATACGGTGGATGGATAAAAACCAACCAGGTTCTTTCAATTTTAGGGTAAAAAGAATAAAATTATGTTCATTAAAGTTTGCCACTTATCAAGCTTCTTCTGCTTTAATTTTTTTATGACTCCGAATAAAACGAGCTAACCATTCTTGCTGATCAGCACCCTGCAGCGTCATCACCTAAACCTTAACAATTGAGAATTTGAAAATTTATCAAATTTGATCCAATTTTCACTTATATTTAAGAGTAAATTTTCATTTGGGGTTAATTTTGGATCTCACGATGGTAGTTTTCAGATAAAATAAATAATAGTAGCTTTCAAACGCACTCAAGTAACTACCAGAATTCTTAGTCATCTATCAACAAAATCTGCGAAAGCTTTTTGTTGTACCTCATATACACTTCTCCAAGAAATTAACGCACCACCAAAAAATAACAAAGAGTTTTAAGTAAATTTTTATCAAAACCAATTGTCCGAGTTGAACGTTTTTTTTTTTAATAATAGTTTGTCCCTTTCACAATGTTGGTATACTAATTGGTATACTAACTGTATTCCGATAGAAACTTTTTTTTTACAAATACCGTGTGTAGCAATTATAGGGTGTTTTTTTCATAAAATTTGTAACACCCTTTAGAGTAAAACAGCCACAATATCAATTTAGAATTGAAATCAAACTTTAGCCTTACATTTTGTTTTTTTTTATTTACTCATTTCATATTACACGAGTAACAACATTTTATAGGATAACATGATTTTATTGGTTTTAATGAGCATTTTACTCACTAAAGTAAGTCAGGCTATGGAAAGCACGAAATGTCAAATTCTGATTCCTATTGTCAGTATTAATCCTTTTATCGATCAATATACATATTAATCGCAAAGAATATGCCCAAGCATTAATATTGTTTGAGGAAGGTTGGAGCTACCGAAGAATTGATGAACGATTTAATGTAACTCACACAATCATTTCACGAGTTATACAACGAAATAGAGAAACTGAAAGTAATGATCGCAGGCCGGGACAAGGAAGAAAACGAAAAACCACTCCGATTCAGGAACGGTTTTTAAGACTTTCAGCATTAAGACAACGTTTTGTAACAGCTCGGAACCTTCAAACTCAGCTTCGAGATACTAATGGTTTACAAGTTTGTACAGAAACTGTTCGTCAGCGACTAAGGGAGCATAATTTGAGACCTAGAATTAATAAGGCTAAATTTTGCCAGGGAGCATTGTAACTGGTTAGCGGCTGAATGGCAACAGGTATTATTTACGGATGAGTCCCGATTTTGCTTGTACAATAATGACAGGCGTATGCGTGTATATCGACGCCCTAACGAAATGTATGCTCAGTGTAATTTCTCGCATA